TAAAAGCAAAATTAAAGATTAGCCATGTCCCAAAACGTATTCAGGACTACATCTGGGATGGGATGTGGGTGGGCCTCAGTTTGACCCATTATGGCTGTGATTCAGACTGTGGCTTGAATCCCCATGTCATGAAGCAGACTCAATATCAGAGTTTTCCAAACTTTCTTTTTATTTTATAAATAATTTTTATTATTTTCCAACACAAATATACAATTCTATCCAATTTTCACAAATTTGTTTCTTTTTAGACTTCCTTCGGCTTCTCTGACAATCATCCATAATTACCTCTCAGTTTACGCATGCCTCTGTTTATATTGCCATTAAACTTCCCTCCCACTCCTATTTCTTTTTAACAACATATCTCGACTTTCACAGTGCTTCTTGAAATCCCACCAGTGTTGTTTGCACATCACATGTTCTTTTCAGATACTCAACAAATTTCCCCCAGTCCTCGATGAACCTTTGGTCTCGAAGATATCTAATTTTCCCGGTTAATCTGTCCAATTCTGCATAATCAGTCAGGTTCAGTCTCCATTCTTCTATTGTCGGTATTTCCTCTTGTTTCCATTTCTGGGCTAATAGAATTCTTGCTGCTGTGGCTGCATATTGAAAAAGTTTACAGTCTTTTCTTCTAATTTCATTCCCTATAATTCCTAATATAATTTCCAAACTTTCGATTTGGTGACTCATTTTTTAAACATGCATCATTTCCCAACATAATAATTCAGTTTTACTTGCAACCTGAATGTTAAAGTAACCCCTTTCCAGCCCTGGGAGCAGTGTGGGGACCATTTGTGTGACACACCTACACACTGCAGCCGAAACACTAACATGTTACGACACAAAGTTCAGAAAGCTCTGCTCTATGTCCTTGGGCTGACTGTTTTCTTAAAATGTGGATGGAGAGAACCATGTACATCACCTTGACTTCCACAGAGGATAAGGCAGTCAGATAGATCAGTTGGTTTGAGTGTGGTGCTGATAATGCCAAGGTTGCAGGTTTGATTCATGTAAACGACAGCTGCACAGGCCTGAATTGCGGGCGTTGGACTAGATCAGGCACAGGCAAACTCCAGCCCATTAGATGCTTGGGACAACTCCCATCATCTCTAGCTAACAGGACCAGTGGACATGGATGGTGGGAATTGTAGTCCCAAACTTCTGGAGGGCCAGAATTTGCTTATGCCTGGGCTAGATGATCCTCAGGGTTCCCTCAACTCAGATTCTATATAATCTGTTTGATTTTTAGCTATATATTTGAATTTCAATTTTATTGAACTGCATGCCACTGTTCAGGGCCAACAGGATGCAAGTGTCAAGGAAGTTATAAGCCACAAGAAAGCCTTCCTTCAGAAAAAAGGTGGTTTTGTTGGAATGAGGAAAATGAAATGAAAAGAAGTGTGAGCACAATTCAAAGAGGACTTTGCAAAAATACAAATACCAACACCAACACCAAAATATAATTTAAATGCATTAGAAACAGGTGACCAATTGAAAGGGAGTTAGGCCTTTCAATGACAATGAAGGGTTTGTCCACAAGGGACAAATGTCTAATGAGACAAAGGTTGGGTATGGCTGTGGTAGTGTCTAATTTCTGCTTCTCTACAATGTTAGAAGGGGGATCAGTGCAGTTTATTTCCCTTACTGAGACCCACATATTACAGAGATCCATCACATGTGATTTGCTAATTTCCCCCACACTTACGTTGCCAGAAGGAAAGGAAGTATATGTTACAGCTGTCATCCAATGCCTATATTAAGATGCATGAATCTGCTTTGGGTGATTTAGCTAAGTAGGCCATTTAACTGGGTACTGGGAATTCTCCCACAGCAAATTGTATCTTGAGTCCCTAAATTAGAAGTAAAATATTTCTTCTAGTGACAGTTATGTGATGCAGACAATTGGTGCAGCAGAAGAGGGGAAATGGGAAGAACACCAGAAACTTTCTGGAGAGACTAGTAGATGACTTTAATTAAATATATGTGATTAATATAATTAAATACCTGTGATTAATATAATACTGCCTGGGCAATATTAAGTTGAGAAACCTGCATTGCAGCATGTTGGACTTTTTGGAAGTCCAACTTTACAATTGTATATTTCCATTATTCTATGGCTTGTCCTCTTATGTGGGCAGTACCTTTGTAGGTAAGTGGTGAGTTCTCTAAGACACCTTTAAAGAGAAAGATGAGATCCTATTATTTTCTTCTGGGTTCTGGCATCTGTACAGATCACATTTGAAGCTGGCATGTAACCTTCTTAGAGCTGTGGGGACCCAAGAGGGGGTAGGTCAAGAGTAGGGCTGTCATATATTGGGCAAAATGTTTGGGGAAACCCAGATGCATGGCAAAAACCCATTCTGGGGGTTTTTTGCTCCCTCCCCTCAAAAAAGCTGAATAACTTTGAGCAAAGTTCAACAACTTTTTCACTTTTCACTTTGGGAATATGGCAACCATAGTCAAGAAGGCCTTCTTCCCCCATAAGACGTGGGGCTGATGGAAATAGGTGGCAGTGTGCAACTTACATATGTGGTTAACAGCTAACCACAGTGAAAATAATTTCCACAATTTAAATGAAAACGGCCCTGACTTCTCTTTTGCCACACCTCTTTTTTTCATGGTTATTGTTGCAATAGTATAATTTCCCCCTTCTGGATGACACATCAGGATCCTGTCACAAATTTATTGTGTATTATTCCTCAGGGTGGGAGGCTGAGAAAGGAGGAGGCTTTACTAGATGAGAGCCAGTAAGATTTCCTTTCTTAGTATGTCAATCAATGATTGTGATAGAAAAGTGATGGAAGCTATATAGATATTAATTTTTCTTTTTCCTCTTTCTTCTTTTTCTTGCATTCCTGTTACTCCTTCTCTCTCTCTGTAGTATTTTCTTTAGTAATTCGTATTTAACATGTTTCATTTTTATTGTGTCATATATTGCAAAACAATAAAATGTGTACTGGAGAGAAGAGGCTGGAAAGCCTTACTGGACCTCTGTGTGAACTGCTCATGACTGTTCACAGACAGAAGATCTACAAGGCTGTCTATGTTGCGGCACATGCTTTGCATCCCATTTACTAGTCCAGATCAAAGCACAGAGCAATTGAGGGGAATGAAAGTTTTGGATTTCAAGATCTGCAAGCTTTGTGGTAATCTTATGGGGTGCTACACTGCGATTAGAAACTTAGCTCTACTTTTCACCGTATCATCTGAATTTTTCCGCTTTTCATCTCATGAAATGCCACAGTGTTCCCCATGATTATATTTGTAGGGGTCCAGAAATATTTTTCCACATCAATAATGAAAATAATTGTACTCTTCTACCATCATTGCATTATAAATGTTTAAAACTCCTTTCCAAGGGCTGAATGAAAATGGAGGAGGAAATACGTAAAACTATGGTTGCTACATTATTTTGAAAATAAGAGATTGTTGCAGAAGAGACAGGAAGGCAGTTTCTTCTGGTCTCTGTGGCAATTTCTGAGAGGAAATTGATGAAAACCATTTGACATATCTCTCTAATCTGAAGATTTCTCTCATGGAAGCATTGAGCCATCTCCCCTCAAAAAAACACCATGGGAATCAAGAGACCATTCCCACCTTCCCACAGACATTCACATCCTTCTGCTCAATACACTTTGAAGACTGGTCCCTTCTTCCCATTGCAGGAGCAATTCATTCTGAAGGCTACCAGTGCAAATAAAACACTATCAGAAGGGCTTGAAAGCCTGGGAAAGCATGTGGAAGGAAGAGAAGGTCCCAACAAAATAAGAGTAGATTACCAAAATGATGGATTATGCTGAAATGACAAAGATGACTGTGAAGATCAGACATCAAGATGATGAAATTTTAAAACAAATTTTAAAACAAGAATGGGACAATTTTGTTGTGTACCTTAAAATCCACTGTAGCTATTTGGAAACATTAGCAGGATTGATATAACATTTATGAAGTAAAATGAATTAGATTAGTAAATGAGGAGATGAAACAGAATGGATAATTTAATTATATGCAAGAAAATAGTATAAAATATGAAAACCAGGGTGGGACGGGGGCAAGTCCGAGGGGGTTATATAATCCTAGTATTGTATATATGAAATTTTTTTGGAGTGTATAGCAATACAGTGGTGCCTCGCAAGACGAAATTAATCCGTTCCGTGAGTCTCTTCGTCTTGCGGTTTTTTCGTCTTGCGAAGCACGGCTATTAGCAGCTTAGCGGCTTAGCGGGTATTAACGGCTTAGCGGCTATTAACGGCTTAGCGGCTTAGCGGCTATTAACGGCTTAGCGGCTTAGCAGCTTAGCGGCTATTAACGGCTTAGCGGCTTTAAGAAAAAGGAAACAAACTTGCAAGAACTCGCAAGACATTTCGTCTTGCGAAGCAAGCCCATAGGGAAATTCGTCTTGCGGAACAACTCAAAAAACGGAAAACCCTTTCGTCTAGCGAGTCTTTCGTCTTGTGAGGCATTCGTCTTGTGGGGCACCACTGGATTGTTAACATAAAAAACTGGGGGGGGGGTTAAGAAAAAAGAAATCAATTGATTAATTCTCCTCTTGATGATGAATCTGGGTTTGTGGTTTTTTTGGTGTGTGGTGTTTTTTTTTGGGGGGGGGAGGTTTGCCATAGATTTATTGTGTAGAGAAATGTTGGTTTCCCAGTCCTTTCATTAAACTAGAGCGGTCTTTGTTGCAAGATTGTTGCTTTGCATCCACAAATGGCTTCACTCTTTTTTCTTTTTCTTTTTTGCTGAGTTTCACATACCACAGAAGATTTCATGCCAATTGCCACTTTGCGGGCCACTCAGGGGCAGAGGTAACATTGAGTCATTATGATGATGTTTTTTAAAAAAGTGTCACTATGAGTTAAAACTCTGAAAAGGTTATTATCTCTCCATGCAATTATCCAAATTATTATAATTTGTTCCATTAATCAAAACTCAGGTGGCTTCCCAGTATCCACTTCTTAAGAGGCTTGTAGGAACAGGAAATAAGTTGTGCTGCAAGGATGCTTGATCTATTTCTGTTGCTGCTTTTGCAAGTGGCTTTTGTCTACAAAGCAAATACTACCAGGTGTCCTACCAGTTATCCTGTTCCTGTTCCCCATGAGTGGTACCAGCCAGGTGACCTCATCATTGGTGGGATTTCTTCTCAAATCTTTTATGTGTTTGATGAAGTTTTCTTCAAAGAAGAGCCTTCACAGAATATGTTCAAACTTCCATAGTAAGTGTCTCCCCACATATCCCTTCAAATCCCCATTTCTTCCGTATCATGTCTTACTGATTTTAAGTCTTAAAGTAGTGAGTTTTGACCACTGATGTATATAAACTGCTTTGGTGATCTTTTCTGCCTAAAATAGGGCCAATAGGGCCAACCATGAGTGCTTCTCATTCTCAGTCACTGTCTGAGTCTTCTAAGCAGACAGACATCAAAGAGACTTACGTTCTCCCATATTAAAAATCTTTCTATTCTGTAAAGCAACAGAGGAATGGACAAGGAAACATTCACCAGGGGGTATTCTACAAACAAAAACTATATCATCTGAAAATGCTTTAATTTATAGGTTTGCTGTCCCACTTTGATACCTTGTATCTCATCACTTTCCCTTATCTTTCTTAACTTTTAACACCAATATTAACAATAACAGAGACAAGGGTCAACCTTGTCAGATTTTATATCCAAGGCCACCAAATTTTACAGTTCCTCAGCCAATGCTTCCAGGGCAGCTGTGTCAAGCTCCTTTTTGTATTTTCTTCAGAATTCTTATGATTCAGGCAATTCAGTACACCAATGTCTCTTGACTATGTAGGTAAATGATATTCCTTCTGGATATTCCAACCAGAATTGTATTCATTCATTCAGTCATTCATTCTATTATTCTCACATTAGGTTTTAAGCAGAACCCAGAGAAATAATTGCAGATTTAAAATGTGTATACTCAATCAAAGCTGGTTCTTCGGAACTAGTGTTCAGAGCTGGGGGCACTTCTGAGCACTGCTGGGCACATCTCTTGATTCTAGGAATGTGTTGAAAATGATTTGCTGAAGTGTGATAATGTATTGTACATGATTTAAGTGGGGAGAAAAAGTTATTTTCTGCATTTAAATCAACTAAAAAAATCACATGTATGGAGATTCTATAACATTATATATATTGACAGTGACTGATTAAGAGACCAATCCTTTATTTTTGAGAGCTGTTGCCGGACATAATAATCCTTCTCTTTCTTTAAAAATCCTTCATGGAATTTATTTCAGAATTGTAATCCTGTGTCCTTCAAGGTGTAGGTTGTTTGTAAAGTGAGTTTGTAAAATTCTATCCTTTATAGCTGTTAACGTTAACAGTATCAAACAATGACCGCTCCACGCTTAAAACGGGGGGCGCCCTTTGCGTGGACGCGCGCAGCCCCTAGATCTGGAGCGGCCCCAACAGCATAGGCTTGGTTTGCCTTCCCTCAGGTGGGATACCTGGAAGTCTCCGCCTACCTCAGTCAGTTGTCCAATCCCACCTGGGGGAAGCGTTGCCAAGGAGACCAGGGCAGGTAGGGGAGGGATTACCTGCCCACACAATAGAGGGAGGATCTTACCTGGGAACCCTCACTTGTTTGCGGCGGCGATACCAGGGTTCCCCGTTAAAGGGGTTTTCTGAAGGGAGGCTTTGACCGTACGCCGAAAGGTCGTCATTGCTCTCCCCTGCGGCGGCGGCGTTACGGGGGCGGCTATCTCTGCTTGAACATATGTTCTCCAGAGCCGGCCCATCCCCCACACACTCACTGGATAACCCTGATGCTCCCTAGGTCCCCGGCTGGGGACTGGGGAGGGAGAACGCCCAATGCCTGAGCCAAGGTCTACCCACATTTGAAATTTAATAAAGTTGTGGCGAATTTAATCCCATAGCACGTAGTCTTGAGTCGTTATTCCACATGACAGGGGGACCGCGGGGGATCTGGGGACTCCGCCTGTCCACGCAATATCTTTTATTTGCTTTGGCATATGCTGACTTAATATGGAAGAATCCAATTGTTTGACTGTCTCCTCAACAGAGACTGTTATTTTCGTTAACTCCTGTATATTTATAGAAAGCTGAGGCAGGGCACTGGTGTTAGTCCCCAGGATCATTTTCAATGATGTTAGAGTCTTATTTAAATTGTGAGGCGGGTGGCACTGTGGGTTAAACCACAGAGCCTAGGACTTGCCAATCAGATGGTCAGTGGTTTGAATCCCCGCGACGGGGTGAGCTCCCGTTGCTCGGTCCCTGCTCCTGCCAACCTAGCAGTTTGAAAGCACATCAAAAGTGCAAGTAGATAAATAGGTACCGCTCTGGCGGGAAGGTAAACGGCATTTCCTTGTGCTGCTCTGGTTCGCCAGAAGCAGCTTAGTCATGCTGGCCACCTGACTCGGAAGCTGTCTGTGGACAAACGCCGGCTCCCTTGGCCTGTAGAGTGAGATGAGTGCACAACCCCAGAGTTGGTCACGACTGGACCTAATGGTCAGGGGTACCTTTACCTTTTCAACTTCTATCACAGCTGAAGCTCTCCTTCCTGTCCTGGCAGTTTGCAGTAGATACTTCATGGTTTCTGTTACAGTGTCCTTTCTTTTCTTTTCTTTTTTTTTAAAAAAATCTAATTTAAATCAAGTTAGTGGAAGTAAGCCACTTAAGCGCTTGCATTCTGAGACTTACAATGGCAGACTCAGTGAAGAAATCCCCAATTTCCACTGGAAATTTTGAAAATATAACTTTATTTGCAGCATGGTGACAAAATTCTATCAGCATACCCTGGCCTTGGCATTTGCTGTAAAAGAAATCAACAAGAATCAAAAGATCTTGCCTAATCTCACCCTTGGATTCCACATCTATGATAGTTATTACGATGCAATGATGACCTACCGGACTACTCTGGACCTACTTTTCAAATCACGTAGATTTGTCCCCAACTATATATGTGACACTCAAAAAAACTCATAGCCATCATTGGGGGCCTTAGCTCTGTTACCTCCTTCTTTATTGCCGATACTATAGGCCTCTACAAAATTCCACAGGTAGGAGCTATGAATGGGGGAGGTATGTGGATTTTCATATTTTACATTCTTCCTTTGCCAATAAGGCTGTCACTGAGGCTTCCTAGGAAGAAAACTATGAAACATCAATATTGCAGCCAGATTACTGAATGGGGTTCCATTTAGAATATTCATTTTAATAGTAGTAGTAGTAGTAGTAATGAAGCTATCCTTACAAGCTATGCTAGATTCCCAGAAATCATATGCAGAATGAAGGAAAATTATCAGAAAATAATAATAATAAAAGGAAGAACAACAATAATAATTCACAATAACTATAGAACATTAAGCTTGAAAAGTCCTTGGATTGAACTGTCCTAAACCCTTATCTTTGTTGAATGAAAAGGCACATACTCAAAATTAAGTTTTATCCTGACATAAATCTATCATTTCTGTCCATTTCTTTTTAGCTCACATATGGATCTTTTCCTCCTGAGGAGGGTGATGCAGATCAGTTCCTTTCTTTTTACAACATGGTACCCAATGACAGAAACCAGTATATCGGGATCATCAACTTACTAAAGCATTTTGGATGGACATGGGTTGGATTTTTTGTTGCAGAGGGTCATGGTGGAGAAAAATTCTTGCAGACCCTGGAACCATTGGTTTCCGAGCATGGAATTTGTTCAGCCTTCGTCCAAAAAGTACCACGAGTAGGTCATATAGATAACCTGAGTGATACATTTGGTTTGTTTTCGGATTTTAATTTGTCTTTAACAGATGATAAAGTCAGTGCATGTATACTCTTTGGAGAATCGTTGACCATTATATGGATGAGAGGTATTATATTTCTACGAGATTTTGAAAATAAGGAAGGTTCATCATTTAGGAAGGTATGGATCATAACAACCCAGATTGATTTCATATTAAAGGATCTTGAGCTCTTTCAAGGTGCAATTTCTTTCACAATTCACTCAAAAGAGGTTCTAAAATTCAATGAATTTCTTCAGAATTTAAAACCTGATAAAACAGAAGGAGATGGTTTTCTGCAAGAGTTCTGGGAGGAAGCATTTGACTGTACATTCCCAAACTCCAGTGTGCCATTGGAAGGCAATGAGCCATGTACTGGGGAAGAGAGGCTGGAGAGCCTTCCTACGCCTCAGTTTGAGATGGGCATGACTGGCCAAAGCTACAGTATCTACAATGCTGTCTATGTTGTGGCTCATGCTTTGCATGCCATGTACTCAAGCAGTTCGAAGCAAAAAGGAATGGTCTGGGATAAGAAATTTGAACTTCAAGACCAGCAGTCCTTGGAGGTAATGTGTTGAAATCAAAATCTTCTTTATCCAATGTATTGAATAGTCCAAGGTGGGGCTTCATCCAATTTATTCTCCACAAGCAGCTGATGAAATGGGATTATTCATTTTATTTACTGACAAACTTAGAATCGTAGAATAGTATAGTAGGAAAGGATCCCAAGGTTCAGTCCACTCCCTGCAATGCAGAGATGTATGTTGTGTATGTTCACATCATCTCATGTACATTTTGCTCGAAATTACCATCTGTTTAGGGAACAAGAGCTAAATTTCCACACAAGATCCCACCCAAGATCTGCTGGGATAAGGGCAGATACAATGCTATATTCTCTCCATCCCAGGTTATCTTTGCCTCACTGGCTGAGCCAAGGGTATGATAGGTTATAAAAGAGGGGTCTTGCTGAGGTGGTGCAAGACAGGGTCAGAATTATCCCCATTGTAAAACCCTTTCAGTTCATGCACATGACCCACCAACCCGGCAGAATCTACACTAGGGGGAAATGGTGGTATAAGTCAAATTGTGTTGTAAAGCAATTTTGCGGTATTTATATTTGTTAAACTTAAATAGGTATGAATTATGTTGGTTTCCTATTGTTTAGATTACTTTATAATACCTAAACCATATTTGAAAACGAGGGACTTTCTAAATCACTGCCTTATGTCATATATCAATTTTCAACGCATTTATGGCTTGTTGTTATGATTCAATTAGCTCCACTCTTATCTTTCCGAGATTACATTCAACAACTCTGTTGGAGAAACCATGAGCTTCAATGGGAAAAAGCAAATGGGGGGTGCATTTGACATCATGAACATAGTTACATTCCCAAACAAGTCCTTCCTTCGAGTGAAAGTTGGACAGGTGGATGACGATGCTCTTGAATCAAGAAAAATCATCATTCATGAGGACATGATAACATGGCACAAGGGTTTTAACCAGGTATGGGTCCAGGGGTATTATGGTGGGCCCTGCTCTCTCTCTCTCCCTATTCCATTGAACAGAATCCAAAGCTCATTTGTATATCAAAATGCTTGATATGCAAAGCCCTCAGGTTCAATCCTCTGCATTTCCAAATAGGAATTGAAAATATCCCTGACCTGTAATAATAAAGAGCAAGATAAATCAATGATTTGGACTCTAAAATTATATTTAAAGTTCCTGGGATGGGTTGATTTCAAGTTCACAAGCAAAAATAAAACAAGGCAATTAAATAATTTACAATTAAGAAAATAATTCTTTCTTGGTTGTGGGTAGGTGGTGCCTATTTCTGTGTGTAACGACTGCTGCTCCCCTGGTCATCAGAAGAAAAGGAAGGAAGGGGAAAAATTTTGCTGCTATGATTGTGCTCCATGTCCAGAAGGGAAGATTTCAGACCAGAATGGTGTGTGACAAAGAATTCATTTTTATTTTCATAAGAGAACTTCTTTGTGGCCTAAGATATACTTATTAATCTTTGATTACATGCTGTTTGGAATGTTTCTTTGTGGACTTGCATTATCTTCCTAAGGACATTTTGAAAAATGAATGAGCCTCAAGCAATACATTCTACATTGTTTTGAGTGTAAGCTTTAAAATAGTCAAAATGATCTAGTTGCAGACCTATTTTAAAATATCTTAAACAGAAGAATATTAAAATGGCCAAAACAAAACTATTACAAAGTCGGCAGACATGTCAACAAACTCATGATGATGACCATGAAAATGTTAACAAAATTCTGGGGGATTTTTTGGTGGGGAGGGACAAAGTGTGAATATAATTAGTAGATGCAGTTACAGTTTAACAGATGGCATGTTAGGGAGGAAAGATAGTTCCCCTCTGTAACAGCACATGGAAAATTTGAGTCAAGAATGTGTACCTCCTTTTACTGTTATGTAGGCGGCTGGATTTTTTGGTTCATTTTTGAAATGGTGTTCATTGATTGAGTCTGGGAAATTCAAAGTTTTAGAATAATTATGCCTACTCAGCTATATCCTTCTGTAAAGCTTATCATTTTATAACTGGAGATGCAGAAAGTTACAGATAGGAACTAGTGAAGTGATGATGTACCAGGAATGTATGTCTGGTCAACCATTGGTTCCCAGGTAAATAAATTTCACTGTGCTGCACTGGGATTTATTCATCTCTTTATTATTATTGAATAGTCTAAGGTGGGGCTATCTTTTTCTAAGGTTAGTCACTTTATATATATCTTTATGGAGTTTATTTTACAACCCATACAAACACATTTATCAAACTAAACATAAAAATAATAATAATAATGCCCAGTCAAAAAACAATCAAACAGCAACAGAACAAAAGACAAAAAGATAGAAATAAAACATAATAACCAATGGAAACTTATAGAAAACAACTCGTCCACGATTATATATATATATATATATATATGCTTTCGTAGATTTTCACGGGTACAGGAATGCAGGTTTTGGTGTCCTCGGGTGTCTTCCCGTGTAAAAGTTGGGGTGTCTAGGCGACGTTTCGACGAGGTCTCACTCGTCATCTTCAGGCTGGTGCTTTCGGCTTCTTGTTACTGGAACAGAGCAGGATCTCAGTGTTTGAGTTCCTATAAATACTGTTGAGGGGGTGTGGTGTATAGCCTCCAATGTTCTGGGCAGAGAGGAAGTTCCCAGGCTAGTGTGCCTATTCTTCTTTGTTCCTTAATTACTTGAGGGTTATCTTGAGTGATTTCTTGAGTGATATTCTGAGTACCATTTAGGTGGTAATGACCTAATGACCTAATGACCCACCTAAATGGTACTCAGAATATCACTCAAGAAATCACTCAAGATAACCCTCAAGTAATTAAGGAACAAAGAAGAATAGGCACACTAGCCTGGGAACTTCCTCTCTGCCCAGAACATTGGAGGCTATACACCACACCCCCTCAACAGTATTTATAGGAACTCAAACACTGAGATCCTGCTCTGTTCCAGTAACAAGAAGCCGAAAGCACCAGCCTGAAGATGACGAGTGAGACCTCGTCGAAACGTCGCCTAGACACCCCAACTTTTACACGGGAAGACACCCGAGGACACCAAAACCATATATATATATATATATATATATATATATATATATATATATATATAATTTTAAGAAGAGAACCATGTTGAGGATGAAGGAAGTCAATTGGAAGAAAAAAAGAGTTGAAGTATAGTGTGTGGATATATATATATACACACACCATATTTCAACTCTTTTTTTCTTCCAATTGACTTCCTTCATCCTCAACATGGTTCTCTTCTCAATTTTTGGTAAACTGTCCCCTTTTTAGGTTTTATATTATTCCTTATTCTTTCTATATTATTTCTTTCTATATTATACCTTATTCTATGGTATTTAAGTACCATAAATTATTTTGCAGAAATTATTAGAAACAAGTCCAAGTATTAATTTGAGGGTACTGCTTTTTAAGATAACCTTTTCATTTTTGCCATTCTTTTTGATATTTTTGTTTGGGCTGGCCCACAATTGCCTCTGTCAACCTAGCCAATTCCATATAATCAAATAATTTGTCTTACCATTCTTTTTTTGTCGGTATTGTTTCTTTATTCCAATTTTTATCAATTAGTGTTCTCACAGCCCCTGTAACGTAAAGGGATATTTTCTTATTTTCTCTGGCAATATCTGTGTCTAATATCCCCAATAAAAAAGATTCTATTTTCTTTAGCTCTTCGTATACCGTATCACAGAAGCCTTTTATTTTATTACATGTCCACCACATACGTATGAGTGTCCCTTCTACTTTGTTACACCTCCAACACAGATTTGATTTTGTTTTATACATTTTACATATTTTGGTTGATGTTAAATACCACCTATAAAACATCTCTATTAAATTTTCCTTTATCACTTCACAAGCCGTAAATTTCCAACTCTCTCTCCATAGCTTTTCCCGTGATGCTAATTTGATAGTTTTATCTATATCTATAGCCCATCTAATCATTACCTATTTAACTTGTTCATCTTTCACCTCCCACTCCAGTTTTGTTTCATAAATTTTAGAAATTACTTTTGTCTTATTTTGTAGTAGCTCTTTATCTAGTAATGGGATTTCCTTTGCAAAGCCTCTTTTCTTGTCAGCCTTGAACACCTCATTTAGTTGATGATACTAAATCTACCCTGTTAGATGATGTCTTATTTCCTTGCAATCGTTTAATATCAGCCTGTTATCTTTTTCTTTTAGTAGATCCTTAAATGTAGCCCAATTTAATTCCATGTGTCTTTGTTTCTAATCATTCTTTATATTTTATCCATACTCATATAGATTGATGGGGGGAAGGTGATCAATATATAGATTGATGAGGGTAAGGTGCCAGTCTATATGTTCAAGCTTACCTTTGCGTATATATACATTATAACAGCACACATATGGGCACTCTAGAAGGAAATTAACACCTACAGTTCTGGTACAATGCCTGCCTCCTATCAACTGAACTGAGTTGGACAACATACACACTAACAGCCTTACAGTGCTTTAAAAGTTTAACACAAACATTTATTTGTGACCTGACAACTTACCCGGGGGTTACATTCATGGGATCACACCTACAGCCCAAATTGTGTATAGTTAAAAGACACAGGATTCAAGCGTGGGTGTGATGGCCAAAGTTCTTTTTTGCAGATGCCCGCACACTTTCTTCTCATTTTCCACCCCCTTATCTTTTAAAATTTTGTTTGCCATGTGTGTGAAGCAAAATGCACCTGAGTTAAATGTACGTAGATTGGGGACTTATTTTAACACTCACATTAAGTAATTTTTATATTACTCCAGTTCATTAAGAATGATCAGGCTAAACTCCAAAAACGGTCACATGGGAGGCAGGGACGTATATGAATTGCATTTGGAATGTGACCTGTTTTTCCCCCCTTCCAGATATGAATGACTGTTTCAGATGCCCAGAAGACCAATATCCAAACAGAAACAAACATGGTTGCATCTCCAAAACGATCACCTTTCTTTCTTATGAAGAACCATTGGGGATCAGCTTAGCCTCAATTGCTCTTTCTTTCTCCATTTTCACAACTTTAGTGTTATTAGCTTTTGTGAAGCACAGAGACACCCCAATTGTCAAAGCCAACAACCGAGACCTCACCTACACTCTTCTCATCTCTCTACTGCTCTGCTTTCAGTCTTCTTTGTTATTCCTTGGCAAGCCAGGGGAAATGGCCTGCCTTCTCAGACAACCTGCTTTTGGCATCATCTTCTCCATGGCTGTTTCTTGTGTGTTGGCCAAAACTATTACTGTAGTTGTAGCTTTCATGGCCACCAAACCAGGGTCCAGCCTGAGGAAGTGGGTGGGGAAAAGACTGGCCAACTCCATTGTCCTTTCCTGCTCCCTCATTCAAGCAAGTCTTTGCACTCTCTGGTTGGCCACTACTCCTCCATTCCCAGATTTAGACATGCACTCACTAATAGAAGAAATCACTGTGCAATGCAATGAAGGGTCTGTGACTATGTTTTCCTGTGTTTTGTGCTACTTGGGCCTCCTTGCTTTCTTCAGCTTCCTGTCAGCATTCCTCGCCCGCAAATTACCTGACAGTTTCAATGAAGCCAAATTCATTACTTTCAGTATGTTGCTGTTTTGCAGTGTTTGGCTGTGCTTTGTCCCTACCTACCTGAGCACCAAAGGGAAATACATGGTGATGGTGGAGATCTTCTCCATCTTGGCCTCCAGTGCTGGGTTACTGGGCTGCATCTTTGCCCCAAAATGCTACATTATCATTCTGAAGCCTGAGCTCAACAACAAAGAACAACTAATAAGGAGAAAGAATTAAAGTCTCACTTTGTTTTGCCACCATTATATCCTAAATGAAGGGTAAGGTTTAAGCACAGTTCATTTATACTATTTACACGAGTTCATTTGAAATGATTTGCCTGTCTCCTCACACAGTTTCTGTTGGTTCTCCAAATCCTATTTGGTCCCCTCACCTCATATCTCTCTCAGTTAAGTGCCACCAGTCCCGTGAAGGATTTGGTGTACTTAAATGAGCTAATTAGAGCTGAGCGGGTGTTTTCTATGAAGTGAGAGCCTGGTACACTAAAGTGAAATAAAGCTTTCATTTAATTAGCATAGCCTAAAAAAACAGTAAGCAAAACAATATTAATAGAAAATGATGAAAAGGAAAAAGAATGGAGGAATCAGAGGAAAGCTGAGCTCCATACCAGGTCAACAGAGAAGCAGTGCCTGGCAAGAGTAATGTATTCTGATCATTTGCTATATGGAGTAAAGCTACAGATTACATAGAGATGATTCCCTCCATTTCTTTGCTCCCTTTGGTTTATTGAGACCTGGTTTTGATCTGACAAAACATTCTAGTCCCAAATTACAGATTCACAAGACAAGTCATACCAGAGGAATCCTTGCTCAAAGGAAGAGGAAATAGTTGTACTGCTGCAAAGAACAGAAATTTATCATATTGAAAATGGTAGAGGGTAACAAAAGAGACATGAAAATTGTTTCTTTATGCCTTTGTGGAATGAGTGAATGGGAGCTTGTTGAGCTCCACTTTATTGCCCTGCATTTGACTTCCCTCTGCCCTCTCTAAGGGAAACATCTATCTATCCCACGTCAAACGTTGAATGAGAAATACATCTCTCCCCTTTCAATATAATCACATTAAAGTTTGGAGTTTTGTTCCCATATTCCTAGTTCAGCCTTTAATTCCCATATTCCTAGTTCAGCATTCTGAGTTTTGATTGCCTGGTTTAAATGAGCTTCTGCCGTGGATGCTTCCTTAAGTACAAAGGAATATAACCTTATATCTATATCAGGAAACAGGCCATGAATTCCAACAGTTTGATTTCCTGATCTTCAAGTTGCTAAAGTAGGATATGGAAGCCATAAGGTTATAAGATAAGAAGACCATCAACTCAGTCATGAAGGGATTTCCACAGATAATGTGGGGTATCAGGTACAAGGAATGAATTAATTGTAATACACATAAGAACCTAAACACAGGAACTTGCCTTATACCATGATTTGGTTTGGAGCAGGAGATATAATGTTTCCTTCCCCTGCCCCCTTCCTGGTAGAATGTTTAATTAAGATGTTTTCTCCAAATGAATAACCCAGATAAATTTATGATTTATTTTGGATGAATATGCTGTCGGTTAATCCAGGGTGAGTCAGCTTGATGCCTGTCCTGGTATCCTGTTGATTATTTTTCACTGTCCTGGAAGTTTAGTTTGGGGTGCTGCAGTTTTCCATTTTCCATGTGTCTCCAGTGCTAGTTAGCATCTACAAAAAGTGGTCGTTTGGAGATTTGGCTTAATGTATCATAAGAACTCTTGTGGTCCTAGCTGCATTTCTAAGTAACGTCTAAATAATAAAAAGCTATTGAACCCCTGGATGACTTGGACGTGGGTTAGATGGGGGCCAGCAAGCTACGTTTGCTTTCTGCCAAGCTGAAGGAAATGCTAAAGTACAGAATGCATCACTTGATGAGATAGTATTTGCAGAATGTTATCTCCTGCAGAATGCAGTGATCAGTAGGATACAGAAGGTGAAAAACAATCATTTGGGATTGTGGTTCCAAAATATATATGGCTATGCCTAGCCATACATTGAACTCATTAGCAGCCGTTGCAATTCTTTCAGCAGCACCATAACATTATTGTTGAATTCTGCCCTAGTCAGCTGTCCAGCAACTGCATTTTACACTAGGTGCACTTGGTCAGAACAGCTGGTTCTCTCCATCTTTGGGCTAGTAGCATCCTTGCTGCTGTTGCATACATTCCTGGTCTTTTAGGATATTGGAACCTGTAATTCATAATAGAAATGCTTCTGGTTTTTTAACAAACGTTAATTTAAACATTCCCCCCCCCCATTCATTGTATATCAATTCCCAAAAAGACTTTGTTATCTTGCATGACCACCATATATAATAAAAGGTACCCTCCTTTTCTTTACATTTCCAACAAATATTGGAGCTTGTTCTATACATTTTAGATAAATGCTTCCCTAAACAGGAATGCCTTCAGATGTTTTCTAAAATACAATGTCTTGTATGCCATTCTAGGAGCAAATTATACATTTTTGACAGAGTTTTAATATTATTTTACAGAAGTTATTTTTGGAAGCCTGATATTTCATAACTAAAACCTCTCCGTTTCTCTGTCTTGAAGATTTCAGTTATTTACTTCATTTTTGAGACTAGGAATTAAATTATCATGAGACTAGGAATTAAAAAGGCATTGTTTTCCATTCCTCCCTGTAATTGTCATTGAAGTGCTGGTTCTGTTCTGCTAAACTTTGTCTTCCACCAAAAACTAAATTCTTCATCTGGCTATCCACTGGGGTAAATTCATGTAACATATGTAATTTACTTTGAAAATGTAAAGTATGTTGCCATTTCATTTCAATGTACAGGAAAATGCAATACTGTACAAATGGGTGGGCAGGGTATGAAATAAATTCCTTTCTGGACATGGGAGGAATGAATAAACATTGGTGATTATAGTGATTTTGATAATTGTAGTTTGATTAAGTAACGTTTTAATTTTTTTTGTTCCAAGCAAATCCTGGAATAGAATTCAAGTACAGTGGTACCTCGGGTTACATACGCTTCAGGTTACAGACTCCGCTAACCCAGAAATAGTACCTTGGGTTAAGAACTTTGCTTCAGGATGAGAACAGAAATCATGCTCCGGTGGGGCGGTGGCAGTCGGAGGCCCCATTAACTAAAGTGGTGCTTCAGGTTAAGAACAATTTCAGATTAAGAATGGACCTCTGGAACGAATTAAGTACTTAACCCGAGGTACTACTGTAACACTGTACATCTCAATGCAATTCTCAAACAGGAGAAATATGCATTTGCGCCACTAGGAGGCACTGCAGGGAAAAACCTCCAGTTCAGTTTACTTGTGTACCTCGGACCTCCTACAGTTGAGTAATTGTTGGTGCACAAGAGGTGATAGTTTCTGTCCTCCTCTCAGGCTTTAACTGACAGGTAAGAGGGTAAATCTGTCTGACATATTAGTTTCTCTTTTGTAACCCTTAAATGATTCCTATTAATATTCTCCACCATCACAGCATAATATTTACCTGTAGTCTGGTCAGTAAATTGATTTTTCTTTTCCTCCTCTCAGTAAAATCGTGAAACCAACACCTAGAGTTTGGAAACATTTCCACAGTGCGATTTCTGCTGAGAGCAAAGCTGCAATTTGCAAATATTGTGAGAATAAATATTCTTTTCCAAATGTTGCAAGGATGACAAAACACATTCTTGCGTGCCAGAGGTGCCCTAAAGACATTAAAAAAATACTTTATGGAATTAAATGAAGAGGACCCAAATGAAAATGCAAGTAGCTTTTCCTTCCAGAGTTCTAATTCCAGAAACACGATTTCTGCTGCTTCTGGATCATTACAAAGTGTTTCTTCACCAACAGCATCTTCAAGTAAAGAAGTGTTGCAAACCACTGCCTCACAAAATTGCACCATACCTTCATTTATAGATAAAATGACACTTGAAAATCAGGAGTAAAGTGATCATGCACTTGTAAGAGCAATATATGCTTCTGGATCAACATTGTCAAAAACTGAAAATGCACATTGGCAGGAAGCTTTTAAATTATTATGACCATCATATCATTTGCCAAGCAGACATTCACTGAGTAAGCCTCTTTTGGAGTCAGAATATGAGCATGTGATGGAATCTGTACAAGGAAAAATCAGTGAAGCACTATGTCTTGCAAATCCGCTCCACTTCCCAGTGGAGAGGAGTTGCGGTGGACCGCATGGCCCCCTACTCCCCACCGGGGGCGGGGGACCTTGTTCCCCCATTGCCTGGGGGATCCTGGCCACGTCAGAGCCCGGTCAGCCAACCCACTGGCTGGGGGGTATGGCCGGGGCCATTTAAATGGAGGAGCGACTTCCTCTTTGGCTCGCTTCCTCAATCACCTGCCCTCCCTCCCTATTTTGCAGGTTAGGCAATGGCCTTGCTATGGACTTTGGTTGGTCGCCTTGGTTGTCTGAGGGGCCTGGTAGGAACTTTTCCTCTTGGCAAATTGGCACTGACCACTTGGTTTTCGCCTACCTCGTAGCAATCATCACAACTTTGTTAGGGTTGCAGTTAGGCATTGTTTGACCTTGTGTGGGGGAGGGGAGGTGTGGCCATCACCTGCCCCTCCATGCTTAAGGGTATTCTGTTAAAGGAATCCAGGGGTGTTGTTCTAGTCTGAAGCCCGGCTGGAGGGCCTAGGGCCTTGACACGACCCCGATGGGAACACCAGGGGGAGGTTGAGTTGGTCCGCATCGACAGGGCTCCCCCTAACGGTGGCTTACCCTTACGGGGGACTTCCTGCACAATGGGCAGGAGTCAGATATGTTGTTGTTGTTTAGTCATTTAGTTGTGTCCGACTCTTCGTGACCCCATGGACCAGAGCACGCCAGGCACTTCTGTCTTCCATTGCCTCCCGCAGTTTGGTCAAACTCATGCTGGTAGCTTCGAGAACACTATCCAACCAACTCGTCCTCTGTCGTCCCCTTCTCCTTGAGCCATCCATCTTTCCCAACATCAGGGTCTTTTCCAGGGAGTCTTCTCTTCTCATGAGGTGGCCAAAGTATTGGAGCCTCAGCTTCACAATCTGTCCTTCCAGTGAGCACTCAGGGCTGATTTCCTTAAGAATGGATGCGTTTGATCTTCTTGCAGTCCATGGGACTCTCAAGAGTCTTCTCCAGCACCATAATTCAAAAGCATCAATTCTTCGGCGATCAGCCTTCTTTATGGTCCAGCTCTCACTTCCATACATCACTACTGGGAAGACCATGGCTTTA